TGCTGCCTTGTATTTCCTTATGACATGAATTAGCTTGAACAGCTGCTCTCTGAGGAGATTGTTGTATGAAGGAAGCTGATGTTCACACAATGGGTAGGGGAGAAGCTCTGTAATACCCGTTTTCTTCCCCACACCTTGTAATTAAGGTCTGATGGAGAGCAAAAGAACAGTTCTGCAATGAAGGCAAGTTTGTGTGCAGATAACTTGAAAAATAGTAAAACAAGAAATGCTGCTCCTCGGTATGGCTTTTGCATCTTATTGTTTCAAGGATGCTCCTTGATGTGCTCCTTTGCAGGGTATGTTTTCATAGGTGGCATCTTTTGGGAGTTGTTTGCATTTGCCAGCATATGTAGAAGATTTCCAGATGTAGTGTGGTTTGGGAGGAGAAGAACTTTGGGGTGTTGATGCTGGTACTGTTGGGTTGTAGTGACAGTTGCAGAGAAGAGGTTTTTCTGTTCGTGGGAACTTCAGAGCTTTAACTTACTTGAGTTTTACTTGGGGTCTCAAGCACTCATGGGACTACTGTGTGCTCCAGGGTTTCATTTGACCCATCATGAGTGAATAATTCTCTGCCTTAATTGTAATACTGAGAAGGTGACTGGTCATAAGGTAATTTCTAGGATTTTTGTTCTTAGGCATTGGTTTAATCTCTGAATGTTTCAGTGTGGGACTTAACCCTCTCAATTTCTTTGTAGTTCATTTTTGCCTTCTTCTTGATTAGATGTTCTTGCATAAAACATACCTTTCTCTGAGGCCTTGTACCTCAAAGGAAATGAGAAATCTATGTATTAAAATCTGATCCATATAAAGGCATAGCATTACTTAAGAGTAGAACTCCAATCAAACTGTCTTTGAATAGAGAACTCTTGAACTGGAGTACTTGAGTTAAAAGATTTGAGAATGGATTTTTGAGCCACCTTTAGTGACCATCTGGTTTGAAGAGCAGAAAAAAGGAGGAGAGATTGTTCTTATTGCTGTGCAGTCGAAGGTGCATTGTCATGGGAGCAGTGGAGAAGTTGCCTGTCCTGCAAGGTGTGGGAAGGAGCCTTAGGAGAGCACAGTCCCAATTCCTTTTAACTTCTAACCTGTTCTAAATGTTTCTGAGGGAGTCAGATGTCTTCTGAAAAGAAAACAAGGGACAGGGCAGAGCAGAGGTGGTTTGCTGATATTCTCAATGCATAGAAGGAGAAGGCAGCAAGATTGTGCCTTAGTTAAAATGTGAAAGAAAGAGCAGCTAAGGCTTTAAATTGCCTCGTCTGAATTGGAATATCTTTTGGATCTTTCAGTGGAAGGGCAAAGGAGAGCAAATAATCTCTTTGGAGAAACAATTGTGTCTTTTATTCTTGCATTCTGTGATGCTTTTCAGGTGTAATGGCATTTGATTGAAGTTGCCATTACCTCATCTCTTTATCCATTTTGTGGCCTACAGCAATATTTCTGTTCTCTTCTTTTACAATTTGGGTAATGTCTGAAATGACAAAGTTGTGTAGATCCACGTTGTGTAGATGGTGTTTTGTTAGTTACACATCAACTCTTTTCTGATTTCCATCCAATGCAATGAGCAGCATAAAGCTGTTCTTGTTTTCTAGTTCTTTACGGTTTGATTTCAGTGTGATGATTTTCCTGAACTCTGATGATATTTGATGCATTTACCTGATTTTCAGTCAGTTCTTATTCTTACAAAGATAAGACCCATCCATTTATTTCTTTTGGTGGAAGAGCTCCTCTTTGTTTAGGAGGTTGATCGTGACTGATCATAGTTCCTTTATATCCTGCTTTGTCTCTCTTGGTCCTTTGCTGTATAACTGGCATGCAATGCCTAGCTAAAGGTGCTGAGTGCATCAGCAAGAAACATCTTCAGAGTTAACAGAGTCCAGAGGACACTGTTGCCTTAATGCATTCACTGTCTGTGTCATCTTTTTCTCGCCAATCTGAAAGTATATTGTGAACTTAGTTCTGTTATGTGCATTGAGTCTATGTAGGTCAAAGTCATTAACTTAAATTTAGACAAGTCATTTTGTCATTAGCCATACTTAGTGTCATTTTTGGGAAATGAATGGTAGGAATTTGAATAGAGCAAGCTAGAAACTTCATAAGAAGTGGAGCTTTGTGAAAGAGAGACAATTAGAAGATTACAGTAGTGGGAGAAGTTCCTGATACAATTAAAACCAAATAAATAAATCCTCTTCTAGGTCAGGCACGTTTCATATTGCCTTTACACCCATGACATCTTTATCAGGTTCTCTTCAACAGACCCCTGAGAGCTAAGGAGCTTTAGGAACTGCATATGAATCATAACCAGTCTTTTGAGATAAGCCTACTGCAACTTGTCAGAGTTGTACAAAAGATTAGCTGCACCCTTTGGTAAAATAGTTCGTATATTGTTCATGGTTTTGAATACAAAAGCTCTAAAACCTGATTATCAGTATTTTAATACTGAAATACCTTGTAAGTAGTGACTCTTCTCTAGTGGCACTTGAGCTCTTTGTCAAATCTCCCATATGATTCTTTTGTTGCAAACAAGATCCTCTAGAGATCTTCATTAGGGGCCAAACATGGAATTATGGTACAGCAAGAAATTGAGTCCTGCAGTTAGGTGAACTGTGGGGATTTCTGTGTGTTTCTGTTTATGGTTGTTTCTAATACAGTGTTGTGAAGTAGATGTTTAACTGCTACACACTCTCATTTAACATGTTAATACAGCTGAATGATGGAGTTAAATGTTTATATTCAATTTGTAGCACTTGCACTCTTACTCAGAGAAGTGAGAAAGATTCCAGAAGAATATTTACCCTTGTCATGCTAAAACCATGTATTAAACACTGATGACAACTCCAAGTCAGGTGTCTTTTAATACTTATATTGTGATTTGAAAATTCATGTGGCAGTGTTAGTCTTATGTTTTATCATCTAAACTCTCCAGTGAGCAATAGAACACTAAGCAGCATTCTGCCTTCTGTGCTAGGGTGGACTGAAAAACAGCAAACATGAATCCACACTGTCCTCACAAGAATATATTCATGAACTGAGATCTGGAATTTCAGATGAAAAACTTTTTAATTGCCTGGAGTCCTTGAGAGTGTCTCTAACCAGCAATCCAGTCAGGTAAGGAGCAATTTCTGCAGGAGTTTTCATCATGCTGTTTTTGCTAAGCCAGAAAGAGTTGTGGGGTTTGGTATTTTTGAAACCAGAGTAATTATGCTAATGCTTGTTGACATGAGAACAGTGTTCTCAGCACACTGGAAAAGAGTAAGTGAAATGTTGTTTGCAGTATCTCCTTTCCTTTCTCTGTGGTTCTTGACTTGTAGTTGTTGGAACTAAGCATTTGTCATGATGGTTGATCAGGTCTTCTGGGGAGTGAGACCAAAAGCAGAACCTGTGAAGGGATGTACCAGCAGTTTGGGAGACATAACTTTTTCAAGTTTTACATTTGATTAAGAAACAATTAAAAGCATTTTTCATCCTTTTTTCCAGCTGGGTTAACAACTTTGGACATGAAGGTCTTGGACTTCTGTTGGATGCATTGGAAAAGCTTCTGGACAAGAGACAGTAAGGACTCAGATCATTAGAAGGGAGGATTGGGGAGGTAGTGAAGGTTTTACTTATGTTATTTTCCTCATCCCTTTCAAGGCAAGAAAGTATTGATAAGAGGAATCAACATAAACTTATCCAGTGCCTCAAAGCATTTATGAACAATAAAGTAAGTATTATTTTAAATTCAAGTACTTGTAGCATGGTTGGGTTTTGTTGAGTTCAAGATCTATGCAGTATGTTGAATCTTGGAGAAGGAAGGAGACTTTGTATATCCAGTGTTAGTTAACTCTTTGGAAATGTAGGTCTTAGTGCAACGTCTCTTGAGAGACTTCATAAACCTTTCTGAATATGCATTTTTTCTTAGTTTTGTTAAATACTCTTGATTTTTGGAAGTAAAATATTTGACAAGGAGAGGATGATAGTATGGGTTTAAGGTAAGTGAATTTGGAAAACGCTTGGAAATTGAAAGAAAAATATATCTTTATAAATTCAGATTTTGATACATTTGTCTTTTGTTAATATAATGTACTTCTCACCTGATATTAGATTGAGCATGATTTGACACCTTTTTAGCTACAGGTTTTAAGTTAGTAGATAGTGGGTGAAGGATCCGTTTAAGTTTTATCTAATTTGTTTCTAGCATGGGTTACTCTTGTTCACAAAGTATAAGTACTGCCTCTAGAAGTCGATGTGTGAAACTTGTAACTTTGCTTTACTCATAGGAGAATCGGAAGTCTTACATTTATTTATGCCCCCAGCAAATAAAACTGCATAAAAGTTACTTTTAACTACTTATACTCAGTTTAGAAAAATCTCACAGAATAACTTGTCTAATGGAGTGAGAAAAGTGATCAGGCTTTTCACAGTGTTGAGGTGTGTCAGGTAAAGATAGAAAATAAGACTCAATGTGTCTTTTGGTGGATATCTGATTTTAAAAGATCAGTGTCTTCCTGAGGTGTTGACTCACTGTTTCTTAGGAGGAAGCCTCAAATGTAAGACTGGGGAGACTGACTTGTGTCCCCAAGCAGTAAGAGCCAGGAGGGTTTAGTAGAGTGTTGCCAAACTTCACATGGGAGTGAGGGGGTGTGAGGGTTCCTCAAGATCTGAAGCCCAAAGATGATGAGGAGTATCTGAGGCAAATACAGTCTTTTCACTGTAAGTTTTTTCTCTCTTCAAGTACGGTTTGCAAAGGATTCTGGGAGATGAAAGAAGTTTGTTGCTGTTGTCAAGAGCAATTGATCCAAGGCAACCACACATGATGACTGAAACGGTGAAAATACTTTCTGCCCTCTGCATTGTTGGAGAGGAGAACATGTAAGTAACACAGTGAAACAATTTTCTTTTTTGGATGCTCATGAGTTGTCAGCTTGGACACAGGTGAGGAAACTTGTCAGCGAAACAAATGTAACCTGCTAAATCTTTACTTCATTAATGTAGTTTAAATGAAAAGAGACTTTGACCTGTTTTACTGCTTTAATTCAGTATTAAATCAGACAAAAGCAAATGAGATCTGCAAACCATGGCTGAAGTGGAAGGTCTGAAAGGACTAAGATTGCTTACTAGAGAGGAGACTTAGTGAGCCATAACTGTTCATAAAGGGCTGCTAAAAGATACATAGGTTATTTCATATTTCCCTGAGAACGATCAGCAATTGTGAACTTGCATTATCACAAGAAAAGTTGTCAGATGTAAAGACTCTTGAGAACGATGTGTCTTAGCATGGGGCACTACTGAGCCTATCAGTGTGGGGAGCACTGAAACTGGGATATCTCCCCTGAGGAAGGGACAGGAACTTACTGTGCTGGAAAATGACACCACATGGTAAAGTTTTTCATTAGTTTAGAAGAATAATAAAGAAATCTATGTATGTGTGGCTTTTTGTTAAAGCATCACCTATATCACAGGGACAAGAAGTTTATATTTGTAGCTGGAGATTTGAACAGTTCAAGTTAGGGAGTTATTTAGCACCTGCCCATGAGCTACCAAAGAAAGATAATCAGCTGGCATATGTTTCCTTTAAATTCCTCAGTGTGTTTATTTACTGAAGGTTAAAATGGGTAAACTCCATGTCTTCTGTGCAATAAATAGATAAAAATATTTTGATTGTTGAAAAGGCAAATTATTTCAACTTCCATGTCAGCTGGTATTTAGTACAAAGGTAGGGATCTTTTCCCCCTCATTGCTTGTTTCTTAGATGAAAGTCACAATAATTTAGAGATTTATTCAACTCTTTTTTAAACTTAATTCAATGTTACTCTTGTAGATATTTTTAACACTTGGTTCTTGGTTGTTTTCAACTTTATGTAGATAAATGTATTTAAACTCTGTCAGCACACTGAAGTCTTGAGTTGTGTAAAGAATGGGCTGAGTATCTTCAAATGGAAATTGCCTGTGCTCTGCTTTTTGACACTTGGTTTCTCTTAGTCTGGACAGGCTTTTAGGTGCTATAACAACTGCTGCTGAAAGGCACAACAGGGAGGAACGTTTTTCTCAGATTGTTGAAGGCCTGGAGAACCATGAATTCTTACAGCTGCAGGTGAGTTGACTTTTCTGTTTGCTTACCAGCACTTCAGAAATTATCTAAAATACTAGAACACTGTGTATTATTTTGTGACCCTTAAATTATTTACCAGCAAAATCTTTTAGTGCTATTACTCCAGCGTTCAGTTCAAGAGGAGAAGTAAACACAATGGCCTACTAGTGCTAGATTTTCTAATGGTTAATGGTGTGAAAACAAGGAACTCACTTCCTTGTCCAAGAATAGGACTAAAAAGTCTTGACCTTAATAAAAAGCAATTAGAGATATTCCTTTTCTTGAATGCCAGATGTAACATCCAGCTAATAAATCTGTGTTACTACTGCTGAGACTTTTGTCAGCAGTATATGTGGCCTCTTCAATACTCAGAAGTATGAAAATTATGACAGATGTGGAATGGGGTGTGGCTATTTTTGGCAGGATACCTTTTAGGATTGATAGTGTGTAGCAGGATATCACTGGGTACTTTTGTCAACAAGAACTGTGCTTTCCTCGGTGTGTGTTATCCATGCCCTTCACCAGCCACTTCTGCATCTCTAAGGATCGTCTAGTGAGTTGTAAAAGTTACTTTATAAACTATATCACATGTTTATGGCTGCTTATGTGTTGCTGGACAGAGGTTTAGATTCTCTCAGCACCTTAAAAGCCAAAGAAATTTGGTTGCTATTAAAACAGAAACTGTTTCTAATTGGGCTTTTTTTTTTTTTTTTTGCCACTGCAACGTTTGCATCGAGATCAAGTGGCTGAATGTCCTACTAAAGGATGACTTTGCCTTTTTTCCTTCTCCTGACACAGTATTTATACACATTTTGTATTGGTAAAATGTGTATTTCAGCTACCATGGCTGAAAGATAGAGAAAAGCACAATGCAGGCAGGGCAGTTATACCTGCATGGAATACTTATTCAGTATTAGATAAATACCTGTCAGCTTTAGTTGTCCTAATGCTGTTTACTGCCAGCAGTTCTTGTTTCAGGGCTGATGAGTTAATGATGTTCAATAAGTTTCTGTAAATGACATTGTAATCTTAATGAAACTATCACCAGAGAACTCATTCTGAAGGTGTCTCCTACTTCATGACCTTGTTGATTTAAACCAAACAAAAACAAGCACACACCATTCTTGCCAACCTCCCCCTCCCCAAACCTCACTCAAACCTCAGTCAAGGTAGAATTGCAAGACTCATTAACTCGTTTCTGACAAAATCGTTCTTTACTTGTAATGTATTAGCACAAGCCATTAAGCCAAAGTCTCTTCTGGCAGGAGCAATCATAGCAGATGGCACCTCTTCTCTCTATTAATTTCAGATTGGACATGTACTTGGGCTTGTTAAGTCATGTCATAGTAGTAAAATAAAAAGAGTCATTCAAGCAAGCATGATGATCCTGCTTTATCTGAAGATGCAGCTATATAAAGGGAGTGCCTTTGGAAAGGGGTTTTAATAGAAATTTGAGACTCCATAAGGTGTTCCATTAAAACTAAATAGTGAATGTAATTAAAACAGGAAGAGTGCTTTTATCTGACTTTTTTCCTCTGCAGCTATTGATTTTTTTTAATTTTTTTTTTTATTTTTTGCCTAATCTAATGTTACTTCTATTTGCACTTAACATCTTTCACCAAACTTGGTATTTCCCTGGGGTCCTATTTTAGTCTTTTAAGGTAGATCAGTACTTTTGACATTATGCTATTGTCTGCCTGTTTGCAAGTAAATCAGTGAAAGTGCACAGCTGTTCACTTAAAGCATTAGCCACCACCCTGAGACTTCAGGCATTTTGCAAAACACTGTGCAGGAGCAGAAAAGACACTTGGTGATGTGACTGATTTTGGATCTGGGTGTTTTTGGGATGGTTCTGTTGGGTTTTTTTAAAATCTTTAATTACCGTAGAAACAGTTTGTTTTCAAACTGGTGAATCCTAGGCAGAAAGAAAAAGAGCTTCAATGTTGTACCCTTTGGGAATAACTTTATGAAACAAATTATGATTTAGATTAGAGATTAGAAAGAAATTCATGCCTATGAGGTATGGAGGCACTGGCACAGGTTGCTCAGAGAAGCTGTGGCTGCTCCACATCCCTGGAAGTGTTCAGGGCCAGGTTGGATGGGGCACTGAGCAACCTGAGCTGGTGGAAGGAGCCCCTGCCCAGGGCAGGGAGGGTTGGAACTAGATGATCTTTAATGTCCCTTCCAACCCAAACCCCTCTATGATATAATTCTGTGGTGATCCTTCATGTGATACTATTCTGACATAGCAGAAGCATCACAGCTTGGAAACACAGCAGTGTTTGGTGTTGCATGTATGCCACATAATAAATGTCCATCTCTTGGCATTCTGTGTTATAATTAAACTGGAATAGTCATAAACAGTATTGATTTTTATTCTGCTCTTACTGAAAGTTTTTGCCTGTGTTTCTGATAACAGGTAGCCTGTATGCAGCTCATCAATGCCCTTGTGACGTCTCCAGAAGATCTTGATTTCAGGATACACCTGAGAAATGAGTTTTTACGTTGTGGCCTGAAAAAAATACTGCCTGTAAGTCATTTGTGTATAGGAATTGATCCCTGACCACAGCAAATATTGAAGATAACCAAACTGTTTTACTCAGAACAGCAGATGTGGAGGATTGGGGTAGGGAAGGGCAGACTAGCAATCCAGTTCTGCTTTCGGTTTGCATGGTTACAAATTTAGGTTCTCCTCAGCTGTGTAAACCAGAAGAGTAGTTGAAACAAGTTGATCTATTAGAAATTAAATTAGGGTAGTCAAATTTACTGTGATGGTCTCAAAGCACATGCAGTGAATGTTCAGTCTGGCTGTGGAACCAATCTTGGATTAACTTTCTTTGTGTATGTGGTTCCTGTTGTTTTCTGTGAAATCTGGTTTGCTTTAATCTCCCTGCTGGAAATGCATTGGGAGTTTTTAAGGAAAAATCAAATTGGCACCTTCATTCTCTTTGAGACTTCATGTCTACATGCCGCTGCACAGACCTGGGAATATTTGTGACTTAAGGATACATTTGTAGCTCTTAACTAAGAAACCATTCTGATGCTCATATCAAAAATTAAGGTGTAATTAAGGTACTCATGAGTTTCTCAGAGAAGATGAGAGAAATTGAAGAGTACCTGCTTATATTGGCCAAAACAGAATTTATACCACTGTGACTTTTAAGATAGGAAATTTTGAATCATCAGCATGTGTCAGGAACAAAAACCTCCAGATTTTAGCACATTCGGCCTTGAAACTGTTTGTGATGTCATGTTAATTTTTCTTAGGTATGTATTTAGGTTTTATTTTGTGTAGATACATTAATGAGTTCTACTGCCTTTATTTGATGTGGAACATCTGAAAGCCTGGACAGCTCCTTAAGGGTATTTTTTCTGTAATCTATTGCAAGTTAGTTTAGAGAATTGATACATGTTTAAAAACTTTGAGAACTGGAGGTGAATTAGGTAGAAAATAAACCGAATTTCAATGAATCATGATAGAAAACTTTGTATAGTGTGCTGATACCTGACATGCAAAAGCAATTAATATTTAGTGATGATCTTTGGATCAATTTGGAAACAATCTTTTCTAAAAACGTTGAACAGCTCATGTGTTGAAGAACAGTCAGGAAGGTGATCCATATTCCCCTCTCTAAATCTGTTCAGATTCAGAGTTGCCTTCTTTGCTTTTCGAACATTAGAATTGGCACCAGTTTTGGGGAACATGGTTGTATCCAGTTATCACAAATTCAGGCCAATTTCCATGTAAAGCATGGATTGCATTCACATTAATGGCTTGGGAACTCATTTCTTTTTTTGGTGATTTGCCTACTAGAAAGCTAAACTTGGTTCTGAATTGTATTAGCACAATTGTATGTTTTAAAAGAAAAACATCTTTTCTCCTGTTCCAAATGCTAACTTTGGTTTTGGTGTTTTTGCTTCTCTGTGTTTCTCAATGTTCTGTGGATGTTTTAATGCTATGATCTAACTTAATAACAAATTGTAAGCATATCTTCTTTACACTTCTTTAGGCTTCTTAAATCCACTTTCATGAATGTTTTGAAACATCCTTATGCTATTTTTAAAGGAACTCTGACATTAACAAGCAGAAACTGCTGACTATGTCAATTAGAGGGCTTCTTGTTTGTTCTATAGCCCAAACATGCTCTATGTGCTGATATTTTGCCTTCAGTTTTTCTCAGCTGTGCCATTATAATCAGCCCCAGGCACTGAGTTACAGCTTCCTCCTATTCCAAAGGTTAATGTCTTATATTTTGTCATGATACAATCTTTTAAAAAAAGGAAAAATTAAGATATATTCTGCCTTGAATAATAGGCCTTGAAAGAGAAGGAAAATGATGAGCTTGATATTCAGCTGAGAGTGTTTGATGAGAACAAAGATGAAGATCACTTTGAGCTGTCGCATCGTCTCAGTGATATCAAAGCTGAAATGGAATATCCTTTGTGGAAATGGTGTTAAAACTTGTTGCATCATTTAATAGCTTTATTAACTGTAAGTTAGAGTTGTCTTTGTGCAGTTTATGTGCCAAAGTTGTGTATCTTAGTAGAGACTTTGTCAGATTTCTTTCCAGTTGTTGTTTTTGCTCAAAAAATACTTAGAAAATTAATACTTTATATGTAAAATGTAAGTTATTGGAAGCTGAATTAATTTTCCATAAATAACACTTATTAAGCTAAACTGTGGCTCATAATGTGTGAAGATATAAAATTATACCCATGGAAGGTCATAAGTTTGAAGAAAAATGAGTTTTGATAACTAAGGTTTGAACAAAATTTCCAATAGGTTCTGAAGCTCTTTAGATGTTTGCCTTTTCTAACTGTGAAGGAGCAGTGAGTTTCAAGTTACCTAAGTTCAGAATGTCTGCTGGAAGTTTTTAGCAGGAAGCAGAGGAAAGTAGATGCAATCAATGACTGGAGCATAAAATCCCATGTCATGTTGTTGCTTTACAGAACAGCTAATTACAGGTAACGGTCATCTTTAAGAAACCCAAATGATTGAGCAGTGTGTTTGCCAATAGCCTGGCTCATTCCAGAGTGAAGATGAAAGCTTTATGTGAAATATTCTTACAGGATTTGATGACACTGTGTGGTATGATTATTCTTGCTAGCAGTGAAACATGTCCTAGTTGTTAAACAGGGGACAGAGTTTCTGTGGACAGCCTTAGTGAAACAAGAGTATTTACTGATAAGGAAAACGGTTCAGAGTGTAGAAGGGTTTTACTTGAACAATATGGACAAGGCCTGGGGAGCAAGGGTTGGGTAGGGGGGTGGGTGTATTGCTGTGCAGTTTGTTGTGCAGAAGGGTTTTGGGTCGTTTTGTTGGTTGCTTTTTAATTTTTGTTTCTTAAGCACCCATGTTTTCTTAACGATGTTTGCACTGATGTGACCGAAGTATTTCATCTGCTGTATAATATGGTGAAAGATACGTCTTCTGAAAATTACTTCTTGTCAATTCTGCAACATTTCCTTCTCATCAGGAATGATTACTATGTCCGGTAAGTGTCAGCTGGCAGTTTGATTTTGTGGAGGGGATAGGGACAAGAATAGAAATCAAGGCCCTGATAAACTGAGTAGCTCATAATCACACCTGAAAAGCCACTCTGAGACTTAGCTGTTATTTGTCTTTCTGCGCACTGCTAGTATTGGAAAGAGCTTATTGAATATAATAATGCTTATTTCAAAGACTTGAACTTTAGTCTAACACCCTCATCCCAAAAGTCTAACTTGTTGAGCAGTTTTCCTTTATTCAGGTTTTATACCTTTGTGACTTCTTTGAAGTTATATTAGTTGTATAACTAATGATTGAAAGTACTTCCCCGGTGCCATGCATCTTGTTTGTTAATATAAACTTCTCTTATGTGCATCTCAATGTCTTAGCAGGGTCAAGGTACCACATGCAGAATCTTTACAAATAATAGTACAAATAAGCTGAGACAGGGGAGATTCAGATTAGATGTTAAGAAAAAAATTTTCACTGTGAGGGTGTTCAGGCACTGGAATATTGCTCAGGGAGGTGGTGGAGTCACCGTCCCTGGAAGTGTTTGAGAGGCATCTGGATCTAATGCTGGAGGATCTGGTTTAGGGGTTCCAGGAGAGTGACAGGTTCATGGTTGGGCTCAGTGATCTTAGAAGTCTCCTCCAACCTTGATGATTCTATGCTGTGGTTCTAAGACTTTGAACTCGATACTATTATGGGCAGTTGTGTAATTCATATGTTAGGAGTTAATGTTACTCCCCCAAATTGCATAAATGCTTGTTCATGTTCTTACTGTCTTGTAAAATGTTTTCTGTTTTTTAGACCTCAGTATTACAAGATCATAGAAGAATGTGTGTCACAAATAGTATTGCACTGCAGTGGTACAGACCCAGATTTTAAATACAGAGGAAGAATGGACGTGAATTTTACTCACCTTGTTGGTTTGTACACTATAAGCAATTTTATCTTCTTTTTACTGAAGTGTCTTTATGTTCTTCTGGTTAGACTTATATTGACTGAATTGCTTCAGTTTTCTGAATATGCACGTAATCTACAGGTGTAGCTGTGGAGAAGGCCTGATTGAATGCTGCAGTCTTTGATGTAATGAGTGTCAAAAAAAATTGTCTGTTGCTTTTATGTCATGGGTTCATAGGGTGATTATAGTTGGAAGGCACCTCCAGAGCTGTGATACATTTTGCCTGACTTGTGGTATTTTATTTAAATTCTAGATTCATGTGTGGACAAAGCTAAAGTAGAAGAGAGTGAAAAGAAAGCAGCAGAATTTTCCAGAAAGGTAAGTTCTACACATCCCTCTTTTTAAAGTATGGAACAGAAGGCTGACAGGAACACAGTAGGCTTGTTTCACAGTGAAAACTGGGAAATAGTGTATCTCACAGGCAGGATGTTCTTTAATATTTAAAGCTCTGTGAGATTTGGGTTTTTCTCTGTGTGTACAGCTTAGATTCAGTTGAGTTTAAAATCAAAAGCAGCTGAGAAGTATTAACTGTACATATCCTCAGTTGTGTTCCTCTGCTGCAGGTAACTGATGGGAAAAGTTCCACTTGTCGCTCTTTTGTGCTGAAATGCTTGGTCACAATTAGATATATAAAGTGCAGGTATATGCCTGAAAAAAAACACTTTGAGGGGAAAATGTTTGTTACTCTTTAGCTAACTTTGTTTTTGAACTTGAAGAAATTTACTGGAAAGTGGTGTCATTCAGTGCTTGAAAAAGCATTGACCTTTTGGGCACAGAGATGGTAGCAATAAAATACTGCATTATTTCCTTATAATTCTAATGGGAAATTATTATCTTATTAAGGTGAGTAATTTATTTCCTTAGTATTCACATTTAGAAATCTTATCGTTCATTTTGGAATTTGTTTCCTAATAGTTTTATGCTTCTGATTCAGTTCTGTTTTATTGGGAACTTGATAACTGAGTCCCACTTCAGTCAGGGGCAGTTAAGATTTGTTACTAGATACGGGAGAGGAATAATTTCAGCTCAGTATATTTCTTGGAATAAAACTTTGGAGGTATTTCTAGATAAATTAACTCTTATCCTTTGGCTTTATAACTGTTGGTGTTTGTGCTGGAAATATTTTGATGCAGCATGTTTTGTCAAGTTAGTTCAGTTCCTGTTTCCTACATGAGGTTAATGGATTATTTGCTAATCTCAGTTTATTGCATCCTGTCTAAGGATATGAAATGCTGAATGTTCTATACTAGCTGCAGTAGTACTGAGGTTCCTATACCATGGTGGTGTGTATTAAAAGCACTCAGAATGTTGGTTTTTGATGGCTTGGTCTAAAAAGGCTTTTTTGGGCCTAGTTAGTGGCAGGACATGTTCTTGAACATGATGATTGCAGGGTTATGAGTTGAGTTTGAGAAGTTTACAATATTGTTAGGTGGGAAAAGCCTGTTGAACTTAGAGCTGTCCTAAGTAGGTGGATCTGAATGGTTTTGTATCATTGACTTATTGGTGGAAGAAATGATGTGGTACTGCAAGAGAACATGCTAGAAAAATGCTTCTGAAAAAAGTTAGGAGTGCATCTGTTGCTCTAGCTGTGATATTGTTCAAAGAATTCCTGAAAATGTGGTATCCAGTGTGGACATAAATGGCCAAACACTTGTGCATTGGTTAATTGTTCCAGTTTGATGAAGAGTTCACAGCTCGGCAAGAGGCACAAGCAGAGCTGCAGAAACGGGAAGAGAAAATCAAAGAACTTGAAACAGAAATCAAACAGCTCCGAACACAGGTAATAAAACTATATCACATTAGGTTCCACAGTGGAGTTATTTTTTTTATTTCTTTATTTATTTTTTTTGGTGAAGGAATTGAAAAGAAATTGCCCTGGAGTATATTGCATCTATGGAGTTGGAGCTGTCTGTTATAGCTGTATTGATTTGTTTTTCAGGCAGCATAAGTTACTAAGGATAGTTAATGGAGGTAACATTTTCCAAATAGTATATTCAACACCTGTCACAGACACTTGCTGTACTGAAGAAAAACTTTTCCTTAGGCTATAAAAACTTTTAATCCAGCCTGATTCTTTTTTTTCCCCACCCCAGGTAGTTGTTTATGCTTTAGCATTGCTGTTTCTGTAGGTTTTGCAGAAAGTTTTTGTTTGGTAAGGCTTCATTTTTCAAGTCTTATATATTTATCTATATTTTTACTCTTATATTTTTAGTTAAGTCTTTTTACTTTTAGCTGTTTACACCAGCTTTGGGGTTTAGACAGGATTTTGATACCCTTTAGGAACTAACAGATAGTATGGTTTGGTGCTTTTGCCTCAGCCTGGCTGATTTCCTACTCCTTCAGTGCTAGGCAAGGTTGGGCTGTTGCCTTTTTTCCTTATTTTTGCTATCTTAATGTCTATGATGGCACTTCCTGTTCGAATAGTGAACTGGAGATACAAACACTTCTGTTCCCACTTCCTTCTTGCCAATTTTCATGTTTGTTACAAGTTTCTACAAGGCAATGTTACACTGAAGTTCCATGGTCTCTCTTGTGAACCAGAACTCTCTAAGTTCTCCACCACTTGTTGCATTATAACTTGTGTAGTGGTTTATGGGCCAAAGAAACATGTTCATTGTGCAAAGTCAAAAAATTATTTTTAATTAATTATTAATACTGTTTTATTGATTCTAACAGTTCAGATTATCCAGACATTCCAGCTAGTTCCCAGTAATGGTATAGTTAACACTTCTAGCATCTGTGCCTTTTTCTTCTCTAGTGTTTTGCTCACTATACAATATATGATGGCACTTGGCTTGAGATGCACTCATGTCTCTGATGGTTTAACACACTTTTTAACAAGGTTTAACAGGAAGGTGAAGGCTCTTTCTCTTCGTTGTTCCTTTTATAGCTTATTAGCATGCATATTGTAACTGCTCTTTTTTCCTATCACCAAAGAAAAAAGTACAGAGAGACTGAGAAGAAAGCAGGATCCTCCACCCCCCAGCAGGGTGTCAGGACAGTTATGGACAACCAAGGTCCCATAACCTCTTGCACTGCAGTAGCTGCTCCAGTGATTGCTGTGGAATGTTTTCCACCAACAGATGAGTGCTGTAGAAATTCAGAGTAGTTGTTCTCATGTGTGATGCCCCAGCTTGCCAGGGCATCCTAAGTGGGATAAATGGTTTATGCATTGGTAAGAAATAAAATGCTGTTCTGTTCACTTAAACGTTACTGCTGCTATTAAATTTTCTTTAAAATTGAAACAATTTGTTTTTATAAAAATGTGAGCTTATTCAGTTTACTTGGCAGTTTTATGGTACTTGCTATAATCTATTGTTATTGTTTCTCATTTAAATGGAAGAACAGTTGCATTTCTCACTTTCTTGAGGTGCAGTTGACTACAAAACATCCTAGTTGGTTCAGCTTTGTATTGAACTGCCTCCTCTCCCCAGTGAAAAGAATTCTTCTCTTCTATTTCAGGCTGCAAGCTTGACAGTTCAAGTGACAGAAGGAGCACCATTACCTTCAAGCAATGAGAATGTACCACCATCTCCAGCGCCTTCACTACCTGGTGCCCACCCCCAGCGCCTTCACTCCCTGGTGGAGGAGGAATTCCTCCCCCTCCTCCGCTACCTGGTGGAGGAGGAATTCCTCCACCACCTCCACTACCTGGTGGAGGAGGAATTCCTCCACCTCCTCCTCCTCTACCTGGTGGAGCAATACCTCCGCCACCTCCTCTACCTGGTGGAGCAATACCTCCACCACCTCCTCTACTTGGTGGAGTAATACCTCCTCCTCCTCCTCCTCTGCCTGGTGGAGCAATACCTCCTCCACCTCCTCTACCTGGAGGAGTGATGCCACCTCCACCTCCTCCTCTACCTGGAGGAGCGATCCCCCCTCCACCCCCTCCTCTACCTGGCGGAGCAGCTCCTCCTCCACCGCCGCCTTTTGGTGGGCCTCCAATGCCACCACCTCTCGGAGGTGTTCCTTTTGCTCCCTTTCCTGTGATACCAGCATTACCACATGGAATGAAGGAGAAGAAAAAGTATAAGCTGGAAGTTGCAATGAAGAGAATCAACTGGTCAAAGGTATGGCAGGAGTTGTGATGCTGGTGTTCCTCCCCCTTCTTTGCTTTACACCTAGAGTTGATACTGTATACTCTAGTAAATTTTTAACTGAGATTCATCTTGACAGAACTTGGTGTTTGGCTTTGGCCCAACTATCCAGGAAGCTGATTTAGTTCCAATACATGATATCATGTACAGTGAACATGAATTGCAGCTTTGCATTAAGTTGTGGTGTGTATATATCCAAACTGTTTTAAAGCAGCTTTCCCACAGAACTAGCAGCATCTACATGCTATTTAATGTAGAAATCTTCTATGTTTGTGATGTTTAATGTAGTTCTAAGTTCAGAGAATGCTGATATGGGGCCTGTAATGGTTACTTGTAGGTTCTGTTATCTGAGATGTTTGTTGGTTTTTCTCAGTTAATGATGTGCTGGAGCAGAGCTGTGGCCACAGGGAGGAGCCATGTGACTGCTCAAGGGAAAGGTTTGGGCACCATGAGTTTCCAGTGTCTTCAGGTGGTTATGTTTCATCAAATTTCATTTTTGGCAGCATTTTAAAATATAAACATTTCTTTGAGCAGTAAACTGCAAGCACAGGCTCTGATTTGCACTTGTGAAGCAGTTAGTTATTACTCCCTCTGAGTATGTCTGGTCACTCTAACAAGAGAAGTTATACAAGCATCCAGATGTGTGTTGGTGTGTGTTCCTTTAAAATCCCTTGTTGATCAGTATAGCCACTGCTCTTTCCATTTAAAGGAAATCATTGTGAGGTACTAGATAATTGCATCTGTTATCAAGACTAAATCCTCACGTCCTCAAGGCAGGTTGTGGTTGGCAGCTTTTTAGTGGTATAAAATGTGGTAGATGTATTGATGTTTGCTGTAGGAAAAAGTACCTAGATCATCAAATCATCAAGGCAAGTCAAAGGAGGACCTTTATATATTGCATGTAACGTGGTTTGAGCTCTAGCTTGGATTTCAGTGTAGTTTAGGTGTCTGCTACTCATTTGTCAATGTACATCTTTGTATCAAGTACTACATCTTTGTGCTCCCAGCTACTGTCTGACACCTGCCTGGAAAACCATATTCTTTCTCAGAAGTGTGTTGGTTCCAAGGATGTGGTGAAATCAAATTGTTGATGAAAATAAGCTGTTCAGTGGTGACAGGTGGTTACTGCTGACCATAAGTTGCAATTTAACACTGAACAGCTTTGGAACATGGAATTTTAATCAAGCTCTGAAATGGCACAGGTGTTTAGGATGCACAGCCGGTAATTTAAATGAATGTAGATATCCATATTTGTAGAATGTTTAGTGTTACCATGTTCTCCTGGGTGGAGCTGACTGACACGGGATGACACATAAAAGTTGCTTTGTATTATTTCTGAATATATACTATCACCACTTCAAGCAAAGCCTTTCAAGAACTAGTAATGACAGAAATTTACTGTTGGAAGTGGGGCTGAACTGTCCTGTGATATTTTTGAATAAGTGATGTTAACTGTCTTTCTAAAGGAAAAATAAGTTTAGATTTTGTGGTCCTCTAAAAAGTGTTGGGTAGTGTTACTCCTTGGAGTAACAAACCAGAGCAGTGTCATGAATGAATAATGCTACTAATTTTAGAAGGAGGAATCTAGAAGGTTTGAGATAAAAGCTGTGTGGAAATACATGGCATGTCAATTTATAGTTTCTTTTAGCAGAAGAGCTCATGCTTATGACTTGACTTTGGTATTTTGTAACTGGATTTCAAAATATTTGGAGATAAAACAAGCTGGAAGTGCATCTAGCAGTAGAAGTCTAAAAACAGACTTTCAAAGTATTTAATTAAAGGGATATTCAAAATAGTCAACCATGTTTTTAATATTTTAATTTAAATGTTTTTAAAAATCAATTTGGAACTCGTTACTTTTTATGTCTGCAATTCTGCGTATAAGGCAAAGTGATAACTTTTCTTTATTGTGGGAGGAGAAATTAGCAGTATCATCTAGGCAGGAAAAGGCTGTGGATTAAGATGAGAATCTTAGTGCTACAGAACAGTGTCAGTACTGGAAACTTCAGGCCTGCTAGGGACACTTGTAGATGAGGTTGATGTTACAATTTGTTGTAGAAAGTGCAGCAAAATTTAACTGGGGAGGAGTTTTCTTAGTTTATTTGTTTAATATTCCAGTACATTTCCAGAAAACTGAAGAGGTTTTTGAGACTAAATATTAACTTTAATGCTTCTGACCTTAAAAGGAATCATATAGTCCTCCTGCTTTCTTAAAATGACTGTGCAAATTGCCTTTAATGTCCTGCCAGCAACATAAATATATATTATGTTTTTAGCAGAGTGTTTTGAGTAGCCTGGTTATGCTATCCAGGGAGACCTTAGTGTGGCCTTTCAGTTCTTGGAGAAGGGAGTACTTGTAAGAAAGTACAGGCAGAAAACTGCCTGTTGCCTTAGAGTAGATTGCCATAGAGCACCATTAGCAGAGCTAGATGAGATAAAAGGGACAAGTTTTTTACAAAGAGGGAGGTGAGGCACTTGCACAGGTTGCCCAGAGAGGTGGTGGATCCCATCCCTGGAAGTGTTCAGGGCCAGGCTGGATGGGTCTTGGAGCAACCTGATCTAGTAGAAGGTGTCCCTGCTTGCAGTCCAACCCTGCAAGGAGAGCTGACTAGATGACCCTTAAATGTCCCACCAACCCAAACCGTTCTATAAGTCTGTGATTAATTAAACAAAAGTTGTCATACTGGAAAAGATGCTCAGGTATTACTTTGAAGAATATGACATTACCCAGTGTTGGAATCAGATTTGGGGTTGGGTTTTTTCCTGTGAAATTCATCTAGCCATACAAAAGTTTTATTTTTAGTTCATGTGCTCATAGGAATAATTTGAATGATACAATTTTGTAACCTTTAAAACTCTTATATTAAAAAAATCACTTCCCTTGCTATGAAATATTTATTGTCTGTTGAAGATATTTTTCCTGCTTTTGAAATGGAGCTCTAATTTTGGAAATGCATTTCCACTGGGGCTCTGAAGAAAGTGTTTGGTGACTGATTTCAATTAGCTTCTGTTATAATTTTTAACTTCCAGATTTTTATTAACCCCTTGTATCTGCTTGGGTATTTCCATTTAGATTTATTTTCCTTATAGTTCACAGGTTTTTACAGAGATTTTTATTTTGCCATTTTACTTCAGGGAGGGAAGACAATTTGTATGTCATTGACAATATAACTCTTTCCTGAAGCAGCTGCTTGTCATGGCTCTCCACCTTTTTCTTTGCTTAGGATAGCTTGTCTCCTACAATTCATTTATCTTTGCCATTTATTTAGGCATCTCACTTTAAGCAGGGAAAAATTTCTACCAGACATATAACTTATGTTTTCTACACTCAGTTGTCCTTGTTAAGTAATATCTGATTCAAGACATAACTGCAGGAGCTTTGTAACTATGAAACATACTGAGACTACTGTCCTGTAAACTTAGAGAAAAATAAGCTTTCTAGTTTATAATCCCTGTTAGTAATTGCAGCCAATTTGACTGTAATCAGTTACATTGGTGAGTTGATAGAAATAATTTATAAAGTGTGCATCTGAACATTGTGTATGACAATGGGAAGTAACTGCAGATGGACACTTTGCTTAAGTGCTCTGGGAACGGTGCCAAAGATCTCCTGCCTACTGAGAAAGTGGAAAGTCTATTTGATCATCACTTTTAAGGAGCCATCATTTAAGGAATAAAATTCTTACTGTTTAATTTAGTGCCTTTTGCTCTAACTGTCTTCCCCATTAGTGTTGGATTAAGGTAGTTTTTTTTTTAGATATCTTACCTGGAGCTGGTGGTAAAGCAGCAGTAAAAGGTGGAGGACTAGTGTGTTGCAGTGACAACTGGAGTGAGGCTGACAAATATAGTATTGCTAAATATCCTGCATATCATCTTGAAGTTAAATAGCCCTTGAAAATTACTTGGCATTTTAAACAGACTTGTAAACAAGAATTCATAATATGATAAAATCTGTTAGAGAAACATATTGTGAAAACAAAAAAGCTGTTTTGAGTCATACACAAAAAATAAAGTTGGCTTTCAATATAGACAGTACAGACTTAATATTGAGTCACTGGAAGGTGACATGGGCAGTTCATTTACAGATAAGGTGTTCCATACTCCGACAGTGTAAGGAGGAGCATTCCCTCTGCAGTTCTCAAGTAGCTGGGAGACAGATCAGTGGTAAAGAATTTGGGAACTTGAAAAAGTAGTCAAGAGAAAACCAGAACACTTTCAAACCCAGATGCTAATGTTATCAGGCCAGTTGGGAAAACTTGTCAAATGGGAGAAATCCAGTACAAATCATTTTGTGGCTAAAGGGGAGTTCATCCCTTTGTGTCTGTGCAGCTTGAGGAGAACATACCTGGACCATGACTAAACTTCATTCAGTCCAATTACCACAGAAGTGCAGTAACACTGTCTTTACCTTGGCTGTTAAAAAGGCTAGTTATTAACTTTGGAGGTGCCATTTTTCTTTCAGATTGAGCCTCAAGAGATAGGAGAAAACAGCTTTTGGGTAAAGGCTGAAGAAGATAAATTTGAAGACCCAGAGCTGTTTGCAAAATTGGCACTTACCTTTGGAACCCAAATGAAAGGTACATTCTTATTTTACTTTTTATTATGTTTTTATTAAGTTTAAAAATGTGCAATGACACTCTTCTTTTATGCTTTGTGCAATACCATGGAATTCATATGATGGTTTTATAGCAGGAAGATGATTTAAAGTGTATGTTTTTATTAAGCCTAACAGTCTATTACAAGAATTGTTCCTCCCTCACTTTATAGCATGAAGGGAGGAACCTTTTTGCAGTAATGTCTCTGATAAGTGCAGGATATGTTGCAGGCAGATGCAAATTTTCTTCAAATGAAATGATAATGAAGTTTAAATTCTGATTCTAAAATCATGCTTAGCTGCATTAATATGCCTAGCTGCAGGAGCTCTAAGTTGTCAGGTTCTTTTAGATATTCCAGACATGGAGGGTTTGTTGTGTAACAAAAATTTACTTGCTTGTATCACTTTGCTAAATCACAGTCCTCTACCAGTAAGACCTGGAATGTAGCTATTACAATATGCTGTTGAATCATGAAATCACAACTCTCTGCTGTGCCAACTTTCATGATTCTGGAATATGTGGTTCAAACCATCATTGTTTTTAAACTTTTCATGTTTATGTCCTTGGTCTTTGCTTTCACTTCTTTTTTTACCTAATACTATAAGCAGCTGTCATTAAAAAAAAAGTCTTTAAATACACTCCCTGAATTAGTATTTCAATTTGTGTGGTGTCATTTAAGAAGCACATACACACACAAATGTTGTGTGCAGTCAAACTGCATCGCTGCTGTCATTAGTGAATGATGTAAGTTAGTTTTCAAAGGGTTGAATGGGTGAGTGCAACTCTTTAAACTGTTTGCATAATAGCCTGGGAAGGCGTCAGATGGTCTACTGATTCTTGCTGGAACACAGTGTGAAACGAGTCTGTGAGACTCTGCTGCAGTGAACAATACAGTGAGAATAAAAACCATGTTGGGGCTTTCTGTCAGGTGTAACTGAGGCTGTTCACTATGTCATGCAAATACCTCTTCTGCTATTGGTTTTAGATGAAAAGCAAATTAATTTCTCAAGCACTTAATTCCTTCAATTGGAGATATGATAATAATGTTTATATCTTGAGCTGGGATTGCAGTTACTAACAACTGCATATTGGTAATGATTTTGATACTTTAATACCATTCACAGCTCTTCTTGGCTTTCAAATGGTCTTTCAGCCCTCTGAGACTGCACATAATCTCTTCAAGTCTTTTCACTATCATCTGTGGTTAATGGTCAATTGATCAGTATTTCATATGTGGCCATTTACCAGTGATTTGCCCCAGGCATTGAAAACAAGCAAATGCTGCTCAAGTGTGATTGATGCATAATAACTTACTCAGGAGCTCATGGGGAAGCCCAAGAAATCAGAGTCCAAGAAGTGGTGGATAGTGAAAGAATGAATTCCTGGTCTTCCCCTTTAAGGGAAGGATGCCTGGCAGCAGATAACACTTTCAGTGGCATGAGCCCCTTCCTAATGTAAATGACAAGCTCCTGCCTTCAGCTGAATTCTTTCATCAGAAAGCTGAAGAAATGTTTCTGAATTCCTGAAAAGCTCTTCATTAAAAATCCTGAAAAAACCCTCTTGAAATTTTGACATAGTTGTTGGTTTCGTATGAGGCAAAATTCTTGTTGATATAGCTGCACAGTTCTAAACGTAGGAACAACAGAAATTATCCAAATAGCTTATTGTAGCAATAGCCTTGCCAATATTTTTGCTGTTCTTTCTTGTGGTGTTCTCAGTTAATTGTTGTAGAAAATAAGATGCTATTAGAAAGGCTGCAAAGACCATTCAGAATGCTACAGCATATTACCCAGGATATTAAAGTCTTATTTGTTTGACTAGTAAAGTCAATCTTGTCTGTCTTCAAGTTCAAGTTTTTCTTAAAACTTGAAAACCTACTAGAAATCAAAACGAGTCTCAGAGCATTTAGTTGTAGCAGAGGTCCAAATTACAGTGTTCTATGAAGGGAAACATGAAATGGTGTTCACTATTATTCCTTTTGCCTTAACAGTCACAGGCAGCTCAATAATCCCCCAAATACTTATTTCAAGCATGATCTAGGATCAAATTTCTCTTCTGCTCTGGTCCTATTTCTTGGTGTGGTCTCCTCATACATTACAGGACAATGATAGAAAGACAAATAGAAATGCATTTTATTTTGTCTCAGGAGCACAGTCAGCATGTAAAACAAATAAATGGATGAGTGGAAGGAAACTGACAATTGCCAAGAGCAATTGTGATGACTTAGTGTTTGCTGTCTTGTATTTCATGGCATTTTGGAATGCCAGTGGGAATAGTAAGTGGAGTAAAAGAAATGGTAGTATACACACTCATTAAAAAGTTGTAGTTCCATGTAGGCTGCGGCATTCAAATTTGATTAAACCTCTGAATTCTATTCACGATTCTTTGGCACAATGAGAACAAAACCTGCTGGATTTTTCTCTTTTAGCATAGTTTTGGTTTAAGGTACTCTGAAAATAACTTAAAATTGGTTATCACTCAACTATGAGCTGCTTTGCTGTTTGAGTGCCTCCTGTTCTCAAGGAATGCAGCCAGAGCTGTGGGGAAGTGGTACTTTTGGAGGGAAATACTGTAATGAAGTAGTCGGACAAGAGTTTATGCTCAGTCTATTAATCCAGTGTGGTTATACATCTCAGGAAGTTTAGGCTACTGCATTTTTAGAGAGCTGGGGATGTGTATGTTTGTAATTCTGTAGAATGTCTTAAAAACTGTGACAACTAAAATTAACTTTTAAAAATGTTGGCATTCTTGGCAAGAGCCTACTTAAATTTAAGCAGGTTGTGTTGTGTCATGCAGCTAGAACTTTCTTTTACCAGACTTTGTCCTTAACTGCTATCAGATTTTGTCTACTACTGTGAGGGGAAATAACAGCACCAGCAGCAGGGTAATGTCTGTGGTGCTTTGTGGAATATGATGTCCAAAAACTCCCTATGTTGGTGTTTAATTTTAGGAATATTAAATACAGGCAGAGTTGGATGATGAAGTGGCTTCTAACAGGTGAAAGTAAAGGACTGAAGTGTTATGACTCTGCAGACAAGTTGTGACACATCAGGTGCTTGGGGCCTCAGATAACTTTGCACTGATGTGACAATACTCAATGTATCAGACCTGCTGCTATCAAAATCACTTTTCACTGTTTGATTGATAGTCTAATTGCAAAACACTGCAAAGCAAGTTAATGCCTTTTCCCTAAAGGATCATGTTAATTTCTGGCTCTTGTAATTTAGGTTGTGTATTTTGCCAGTCAAGAATGCTACTAGTGCTCTGAAGAAATTAATTATGTGTACAGTAGATCTGTAAAGGTAGTAATTAGTACATAATAGTCTGTAACTACTGGGATTGTTCCAGTACAGAATTCATTATCCATCCAACTTGCCTCAAGGGAAAACTTCTCGATCAGGGTTCTGTTGCTTCTTTATGATTAGCCTTTTAAAATACAATTCAACAATCATTTTGATATGTTTTCAAAATTGTAGTAAGGTCTTAATAGCTCAGATTGTATTTCTCCTGGTATGGGAGTTTGAGTGAGAAAGGACAAGTGGAAATACCAACTTCCACATAAGCTATAATTGAACAAAACTTGAACAAAATATTCAGCTTTTAATTTTTATATGTATATATGTGTATATATATATATATAATATACACGTGTAATAGAAGATATACTAATGTCTTAATACAGTCTTGATTTAGTAATTACAATAGGAAAACTTATGTGACTCTCCAGTTCTACTTTGATGTCTCCTTCTGTGAGCAACTTCTAGGACTAATCTGTTGCTAAGTTTGGAAATACTTAGTAATTATGAAAAATTAGCACCTAGCACAGGGTGGTGCTGGGTTAACAGCTGGACTCGATGATCTTAGAGGCTTTTTTCCAACCTTAATGGTTCTAATTAGTAAGACATTGATATCTTAATTTGTTTTGAATCAGTGCCAGGATTTTGGTATCTAAACCTATTTTGTTGATTGAGGAGGGAGAGGGTTGAAATGTGCCACCGAAAGGAGTATAAAAATCTTAGGAAAAATGTAAGAACAGTCTAAGGAGTCAACATTAGTTCTGAGCAAGACACAGCATAGGACACGATGAGGTTAAGAAAAAGGTGATGTTTAACTAACACTAACTACAGTGATGATATCAACATCCTCTTTTGTCAACATTATTAATGATCTTCAAATGAGCATTAATAGTTTCCTATTTAGGCTATAAAGGTTAGACTATAAACAGTTGAGGGAACTGCAGTGCTTGTGCAGAACTGTGAGCATATGGCAGTGCTTATCCAAAGGAGTTTATTATAAACATTAGAAGGTAAATGCTCTTTTTAAATTTTTGGATTAAGTGAGGGGACTGGCTCTCATAATAGATGACGGTGGAATCCTGGCTGTTACTGTACATGGGTGGTATGGTAGGTGTGTGCACGTGGTTTTCAAGAACAAAGTATACAAACTTCATGTGGAGACTTCAACACTTATTTGTACTTTATTAAAGTGTTAAGTCTAATCAAAGTACAACCAACACCATTGTTGCATTTTGTTGATACTAACACTCAAACTTCTCAACATTCAACCCTTCTTTTTTCTGGTGTTCTGCTCTTCCCATCCTTTGTCATCCTGAAAAGTAAGGGTCAAATGATGTTACCACAAGTCATCAGCACCTTGAGTTGTTCACCACAAATTCTATGTTCTTGCAGTGGAGATTTTCCTCCTAAGTCTGCTTGGGGATGTTTTATCTTGCTACTAAAGCATTATTTAAAAGGTATTGACAGTTGTTTATCTGCTAGTAAATCACTGGCTAGAGCCTTCTGTTAGCATCTGTTGATTTAGGATAACTTTACGAGACTTCTTTCAGTTCTGGTAAAATTTCTGTACATTTTTCTTTCCTGCCTTTAAGTGCTTGGATGTCTGCATTCTAATTGAAGTGAGTCATTAAGATTTGAGCTGCAGTACTCTTTTGATTGCCACCTACCTTCTGTGGGTATGTGGCA